ACTCATCAACCTTACAATGTACCCAACAACAAACACAATCATCTACGGAACCTCATCAACCTTACAATGTAACCAAGCACAAACACAATCGTCTACTGAAACCCATCAACCTTACAGTGCAACCAACCACAAACCCAATCATATACTGAAACTCATCAACATTACAATGTAACCAACCACAAACACAAGCATCGACTGAAACCCATCAACCATACAATGTAACAAACCACACACACAATCATCTACTGAAACCCATCACTCATCAACCTTACAATGTAACCAATCACAAACACAATCATCTCAATCATATACTGAAACTCATCAACCTTACAAAGTAACCAACCACAAACACAATCATCTGCTGAAACTCATCAACCTTACAATGTACCCAACAACAAACACAATCATCTACGGAACCTCATCAACCTTACAATGTAACCAATCGCAAACACAATCATCTACTGAAACCCACCAACCTTACCATGTAACAAACCACAAACACAATCATCTACTAAAACCCATCAACCTTACAATGTAACCAATCGCAAACACAATCATCTACTGAAACCCAACAACCTTACAATGTTACCAACCACAACCACAATCATCTATTGAAACCCATCAACCTTACAATGTTACAAACCACAAACACAATCATCTACTAAAACCGAACAACCTTACAATGCAACCAACCACAACCACAATCATCTATTGAAACCCATCAACCGTACAATGTAACAAACCACTCACACAATCATCTAACCACAAACACAATCATCTACTGAAAAACATCAACCTTACAATGTTACCAACAACAAACACAATCATCTACTGAAACCCAGCAACCTTACAATGTAAGCAACCACAAACACAATCATCTACTGAAAAACATCAACCTTACAATGTTACCAACAACAAACACAATCATCTACTGAAACCCACCAACCTTCCAATGTAACCAACCACAAACACAATCTTCTACTGAAACCCATCAACCTTACAGTGTAACCAACCACAAACACAATCATCTACTCAAACTCATCAACCTTACAATGTAACCAAGCACAAACACAATCATCTACTGAACCCCATCAACCTTACAATGTAACCAACCCCAAACACAATCATATACTGAAACTCATCAACCTTACAATTTAACCAATCACAAACACAATCATCTCAATCATATACTGAAACTCATCAACCTTACAAAGTAACCAACCACAAACACAATCATCTACTGAAACCCATCAACCATACAATGTAACAAACCACAAACACAATCATCTACTAAAACCGATCAACCTTACAATGCAACCAACCACAAACACAATCATCTATTGAAACCCATCAACCTTACAATGTAACCAACCACAAACACAATCGTCTATTGAAACCCATCAACCTTACAATGTAACCAACCACACACACAATCATCTACTGAAACCCATCAACCTTACCATGTAACCAACCACAAACACAATCATCTACTGAACCCCATCAACCTTACAATGTTACCAACCACAAACACAATCATCTACTGAAACTCATCACCCTTACAATGTAACCAACCACAAACACAATCATCTACTGAATCTCATCAACCTTACAATGTAACCAACCACAAACTCAATCATCTACTGAAACTCATCAACCTTACAATGTAACCAACCACAAACCCAATCATCTACTGAAACCCATCAACCTTACCATGTAACCAACCACAAACACAATCATCTACTGAAAAACCCACCAACCTTACAATGTAACAAACCACAAACACAATCATCTACTAAAACCGATCAACCTTACAATGTAACCAACCACAAACACAATCGTCTACTGAAACTCATCAACCTTACAATGTTACCAACCACAAACACAATCATCTACTGAAACACATCAACCTTACAATGTAACCAACCACAAACACAATCATCTACTGAAACCGATCAACCATACAATGTAACAAACCACAAACACAATCATCTACTGAAACCCATCAACCTTACAATGTTACCAACCACAAACACAATCATCTACTGAAACCCATCAACCTTACAATGTTACCAACCACAAACACAATCATCTATTGAAACCCATCAACCTAACAATGTTACCAACCGCAAACACAATCATCTTCTGAAACCCATCAACCTTACAATGTAACCAACCACAAACACAATCATCTACTGAAACCCATCAACCTTACAATGTAACCAACCACAAACACAATCATCTACTGAAACCCATCAACCCAACACTGTTACCAATAACCGTATAAAACATGTAATGTAACAACTACTCTATGAAACTCAACCTTACAAACTAAAACCCCAAACGCATTAGCCTAACAATGTAACCAGTCACAAACCCAATCATATGATACCCATTTACCCAACACCGTTACCAATAACCCCATAAAACAATTCCGAATTGATGCCGTTAATACAATATATACTGGACAATCTCCCACGGACTACACAGTTTATAATAACCCGTTAATACAATATATACTGGACAATCTCCCACAGACTACCCAGTTTAATAACCCGTTTACCGAAAGATGTTAAACGAAACTCTACTGACCCACCAGCCACATAGTCTTATAAGGATCGTAAGGAACGTTTCAGATACCTACATTCAAAATGCTTTTCAATGGCGACTCGCTAGGTACATGTTCGTTTAGATTGTCTACTTTCAAAGTCATTTTACAAGGTGGGCAATGCGTGCTGCTAATCAAACGCTGAGTCTTTTAAGCGTAATGATGATCCTACAAAACAGCCTTATCATCAGCGAACATTGAACTCATATAACCTAAGCTGTGATGTTGCCCCGACATCCATGCTGTTTGGCTCCACTATCGGTGCCTTGATTACTGTGTGGCTCTACCATCAATGAAAAGCGGATTTATATGATCCCAGCCGATGCAAAGACTTTTAAACCAGCAGCCTCAGACCACTAACCAGCCTTCCCACAAAAACGTCATCCATTGAGTAATCCACCGCCCACCAACCAACCATCCAATAGTAAACAAGCAGCCGCAGACCACTAACCAGCCTTCCCACAAAAACATCATCCATTGAGCAATACACCGCCCACCAACGAACCATCCAATAGTAAACAAGCAAGAGCTACTTACCAGCCCAAATATAAACGGGCCACGTACCAGCAAACTAACCATCCAATAGCAAACACACAAGACCTACTTACCAGCCCACACATATAAACCGGCCACTTACCAACAAACCATCAATGAAAAGCGGATTTATATGATCCCAGCCGATGCAAAGACTTTTAAACCAGCAGCCTCAGACCAATAACCAGCCTTCCCACAAAAACGTCATCCATTGAGCAATACACCGCCCCCCAACCAACCAACCAATAGTAAACAAGCAGCCTCAGACCACTATCCAGCCTTCCCACAAAAACGTCATCCATTGAGCAATACCCCGCCCACCAACCAACCATCCAATAGTAAAAAAGCAAGAGCTACTTACCAGCCCAAATATAAACCGGCCACTTACCAACAAACTACCCATCCAATAGCAAACACACAAGACCTACTTACCAGCCCTCACATATAAACCGGCCACTTACCAACAAACCATCAATGAAAAGCGGATTTATATGATCCCAGCCGATGCAAAGACTTTTAAACCAGCAGCCTCAGACCAATAACCAGCCTTCCCACAAAAACGTCATCCATTGAGCAATACCCCGCCCACCAACCAACCATCCAATAGTAAAAAAGCAAGAGCTACTTACCAGCCCAAATATAAACCGGCCACTTACCAACAAACTAAACATCCAATAGCAAACACACAAGACCTACTTACCAGCCCTCACATATAAACCGGCCACTTACCAACAAACTACCCATCCAATAGCAAACACAAAAGACCTACTTACCAGCCCACACATATAAACCGGCCACTTACCAACAAACCATCAATGAAAAGCGGATTTATATGATCCCAGCCGATGCAAAGACTTTTAAACCAGCAGCCTCAGACCACTAACCAGCCTTCCCACAAAAACGTCATCCAGTGAGCAATACACCGCCCACCAACCAACCATCCAATAGTAAACAAGCAAGAGCTACTTACCAGCCCAAATATAAACCGGCCACTTACCAACAAACTAACCATCCAATAGCAAACACACAAGACCTACTTACCAGCCCACACATATAAACCGGCCACTTACCAACAAACCAAACAACAAATAGCAAGCAAACAAGACCTACTTATCACCAACCAACACACTGACCAAATGATCAACCCACAAATATAAACCGGCCACTTACCAACAAACTAACCATCCAATAGCAAACACACAAGACCTACTTCCCAGCCCACACATATAACCCGGCCACTTACCAACAAACTAACCATCCAATAGCAAACACCCAAGACCTACTTACCAGCCCACACATATAACCCGGCCACTTACCAACAAACTAACCATCCAATAGCAAACACCCAAGCCCTACTTACCAGCCCACACATATAAACCGTCCACTTACCAACAAACCAAACAACAAATAGCAAGCAAACAAGACCTACTTACCACCAACCAACACACTGACCAAATGATCAACCCACAAATATAAACCGGCCACTTACCAACAAACTAAATAACCAATATCAAACAGGCAAGACCTACTTACCACCAACTAACACACTGACCAACCAAATTATTAACCTACAAATATAACCCGGCCACTTCCCAACAAACCAACCATCCAATAGCAAGCAAGCAATATCCACTTACCGCCAACCAACATATTGACCACCCAAATTATTAACCCACAAATATAACCCGGCCACTTACCAACAAACCAACCATCCAATAGCAAGCAAGCAATATCTACTTACCGCCAACCAACATATTGACCAACCAAATTATTAACCCACAAATATTTTGGGCATTGTTTCCTGTTTCTTCTGCCTTATACACATGTGTTTGATTCCAGTATTTTTATTGTATACTTACAGATACTCAAACAAGAAGAGCAATTTGGACCACGTGATTTGTATTAGAAGTGAGCCCTGACGACCAGTATGTTTCCATGACGACAGGAAAGTGTTCTATCGATATAAACAAAACCTAACCAGTTAAGCGTCTGTCTACCACGTATATGAAACAAGCGATACTGAATGTTACGTGGAACATGGTACAATACATTTTCAAATCAGCATATACGACCAATGAATAGCTAACACGTGTATATTAAAACCTACAGAATGCGCACCATGCACGCCAAATGACGGTTGTTCATATAGACCTGCTAGAAGCCCATAGGGCAGTGCTATGATTCCATTTCTTTGGAGACATCACAACAGAACCGGCCCGCGAATTTGATTTTGTATCGTCGAGAATTACCAATTAGAGCGCGCGCCACAGTTCTCGTGCTTGGAACCGTTGGGTCAGAGTTGCTGGACCACGGGAAGTTTACATATACAATTGTATGTACAGTACAGAGTGAGCTGTACTTGGAGTCGTTGGACGCCATTCTGGACATCGGAAGGTCGAATTCTCCTTGAGGGCTGGTTAAGACTATGAGTTGTTCGGATGAGTAGGTACAGTTACAACTGGCCAGCCCGACATGAGTACTCATGGGAGTGACGCTTAATGGATGAATAACACTATTAACACAGACCACATATTGGCCAACACACGTGCTATAACCGGAGATGTTGTTACAGGATCATACAGCTGGAAGTGCATTAGTCGGTCAGCTAGTATTCAATTTATGTTGAAAAAGTGAAATTTGAAATATAATCAATTCAGCTATCTTTTGAAATCAACTTGACAATGATAGCAATGAAATATTCAAATCCTCTTTGTACAATTTCACAAACAGGACGGATGATGTAAACACAAACCAAATGAAAGCACGTGTTAAGCGCACGTGAACGTGAACGTCTCGTGAGAGTTGTGCAAGGGATTCGGTGCGCTGCGTACACACGATACTGCGACAGGAACACAACACTATATATCCTCGTGTATTCCAAGGCTGTCCATTACCAGCCCGGGGTAAAACACAATTTTCATAAATATTTGACAAGGCGTGTTGAGTAAGGCGACTGTTAAGTGCAGAGTTTGAAGGCTGTCCCCCACGCCTTCGGGATCACGTGACTTTTCTGGCCCCGCGTAGTGTGGTGGCGCTGTGTTAGGTGTTTACATTGCACGTCTCGCCAGCTAGGTTCTAGTTCTCGTACTGTGAATGACTCGACAGAGAGGAAGCAAGTGTGTAGTTCCGACGGCAATCGATCGCCGATCTGTGTGCACCTTCACAGCTATGAACTGCAATTTTAATGGTATTTGTTAAAGAATGACAGGTGACAGCGTTCACCTTATGTAGGGGCGTGGTGTCGATACTTAAGGCGTGACATAAACAAGAAAAAGGTCAGCTAACTCGGGCCGTGACTTAACGCCAACCAAAGGGCGTGATTATAACAGTGTTCGTCAGATTTATTGACACAGAAGAACATGGATATATCGCTTTGAATTGGATATTAAGGGCGGAGTTTGTGTATTGGATTAAGACTGTTTACATAGATCTGTTTTAATCACTACTTATTTTTAAGAGGCGTGTTAAATTTCCTCTGGAGGTGTGGCCAATTAACGACATATCCTGTATACTCATCAGAACGACCACGGGTGTACGAGTGCGTGGGAATCAAACGTGATCAAATGAATGAACCGAACTAGTATATACCGCTAAAAGCTGTGTCTATACTGTGCGTGTTAAATTATTTAAGTAGTCCCCGTGGTGTGGGGCGAGGACATCTACGTCAAATGCAACGACAATAAGTGAAATTGTCTATATAGGCCCAGTCGGTGTCCGATGTACTTACATTTTGGGAGAATATTGAAGAAAGCATTAGAGCGGGTATCGGTTCGTTATAGCCAGCCGTATCGGTTTGTGAGCCGCTCTTCCAAGCTAATGCTGATCAATATTTGCCAAAAACAGCTCCCTTGGCGCTTAAGTGATGACAGACAGGCTAGAGTAATCTATACGTTCCAAATCTAAATGATCAAGTCATTACATGCCCTACCCCAGGGGATCATACCACCGGGCGCGAGCGAGTGTACGGGCATTACGTTTGGACCATAGACACGGTTCACTCTGTCATCAGACTACGACAGAAATCTGTACGCGGTGTTATTCAACCAGGACACATATCTACCACCAAACTGTACATGTTTTTATTCCACAAGGCTACGAAAAAACCTATATGTGATATCATTCTACCAAACGGTGCGTGCTATAATTCCACAAGGCTATGGAAAAAATGTACAAGCTATAAAAATGCTTGTTTATTTGTAAACTGGACATTTATTTTTGCCATCAACAAATTTCTTCATCGCAACAAATTGCGTGTTGTTCAAATGACATTGTCGATCATCTTTTCAGAAAATATCAGTATTTGTCAGGAATTTGTTTGGTAACGACCTCAAAACGTTCAAATAAAATGTTGTGTTCGTGTGGTGAACAGTCACGTGACTCAGGTCCAATCGTTGACCTTGAGAAAACTATCCAGGATTATGCATGGCGGGAATTAAAACGTGACGCTCGGTGGTATCAAGGACCGCTTCTGCGCAGGTCTTGTTACGAAATCGAGGTACCGTGGAACTTTTACGAGTTTGACCACCAGACAGTGAGATTTGCTCCGAGACATACTCGCCATTCTTCGGGAGACGGCTTTCGGGAACGCAAGCAAGTAGAACTGTTTTCTACGGATTACAAAAATAATACGGGAAAAGATCAGATCTATAATCTAAAAACACAACGACAAACTAAGGCATTGACTAATGTGACTTTTCAGCGAGGTTTTAACATTCAAGGGAAGGCTAATTTTAAACTGAAAATTCCAGAAAGATATGGACATTGCGGTGTAACGGCCAGTGCTGATGGTCACCTTAGGGTCACCAAGTGTCGGGGGGAAACATTGGACGAAATGTTCACATGGCAAGTGGACAGTGACATCACAGTTGACCCCTATCACGTGACAAAGGTCACGCTAGTTGTAACTGAAGACGAGTTTATAGCAGATTTTGAAGTGCGAACAACGATGAAGATGACGACCGGTGAAGCCCCTATTATCTTGAAACGCAAACGGGACAATCACATACATGCTGTACTATTAATATCAGACCTAGGTGAAATATTTGGTGATTTAGGCTGCCCAGTTATAAATGTTTTAAAGGGAGAAGAAGGGGACAAGCAGAGTTGTGCTATTGAAATTGTAACAACTGGAGTCCTAGAAAGTCTGCGATGGAGGGACCAGCGAATCAGTATTGAATCTCGCCCGATCGGTCCTTCGGAATCCGAACCATATGACAACCATTACGATGTTCCTATGTATTCTAAGGATATCTATTCACGCGTTATCAAGCACGCGACTCAGGATGATGACCTCCCGGTTCTTGATCGAGACAAGGTCAACGATAGTACTGTAGGGGTTAAGACGGAAACTAGGGACCTGCGGTTCAAGATTATACCAAAGATTGTTACCGAGAGTCCGGATGAAGTGTTCACCAACGATGGCGATGGAGCTAGACCTGAAACACTCACAAGCCCGGTTTACCCAACAGTACGCATCGCCGACAAAACGGAGCCAGGTGATCACGTGGACAGAGCGAACAAAGTGGATCATCCTCCGAGTCGCGAAAGGGTGCTGGAGAGGTCCGACAAAGTTGTGGAGAGAGACAACAACAGGGACTTCGACTATGTGAGAAGACCGTTTGAAATTCCTCCGCCAAAACGACCTGATCCGGTGCCGCCTTACAAGTTGACGTTTGAAAAGCCCCTGAAAGTTATTAGAGAGCTCAGTCTTGAGGATAAAAAATCGCAGGCAGACGACGACTCGGACAAACTAGGAACTCCAGATTCTTCCGACTCTCAGAAATTCTCAAAGGTAACAAGTGTTTGATGAAATTTGCTACAATATAGCTAGCTAGCGTACGGAGATAACACGACATTGTGTTGTTAACGGGAGATAACTCTACCTAACTATCTTTTGAAATTTTACAGGAGATGCAACAACCGTGTCGTCGCGCATGGGACGTGAGTGTCTAAGTGGAAACACAACACACGTGTTTCGGCCGATTCCTACAGAGTCAGTAAAGAACTAATGCACTCGTCTTCCACGTACGTGAGATTGAACGAGTATGGCGTTGTTTTGTGACAGAGTTCTGGACAGGGAGTGTGAGACAGTGAAGAGCGGAGAATTATTTGAGGGGATAGTATCTCGCAGAAAGGCAGGAGTGACGTAAATTTATGAAGGAAACATAGAATAGATTCTTGTTTTTAAGAAGTGCATGAAATGGGATTACATATTTACCTACACTGTAAATTAAATTGACTTTTTTTCACTCGGAGGAAAATACTATAGAATATTAATCAATAAACCATTGATGATCTTTTTTGCACAACTTGTATAAACTATAAACGTGATGCATAATTGTTTATTTGCCGCGCGTTCCCACTAAGGAGCACTAGTATTACACGGTACGAAACAGGGACACCATCTTTTATAACTGTTATTCAAAACACAACGTAAATCTATAATATTTAAAATACCTCACGTATTCCACTCAATCACTGCTATGTATCACTAGTATAGCCATTTCCGCTTCCCGTTGGGTTGAATCCGGGTATTCAACATAGCGTTGTATTCAACTTGGCGTTCATCCTCTCTCTCTCACCCTGCATACGTGTACGGTTAGGCCACACCAAGTTAATTCCACTGTCTTTTGAAATTTTATTCACTTTTCAAACAATTGATTATGTTACCAGAATTCTACTTCCAATATATTTTCACAATCACAACACATAAAGGGGATTAAAATGGAATGATTTGTAGTTTTTTTAAGGATCCCCGTATTACTGACAATAACTGTTAATATGAATTTAAAACTTGATTTCCCGGCACGAGTATAGCCCTGATAACCAGCGAGACTTTAACGAAGAAAAGATAAAAGTTAAAGAACGAAAACTAACTAACAGCGGGACGACCATAATTTAAACGCTCGACATCCAATGTTTATGATGTCGGTCTTACCAACTGTGTCACCTGGTAACAGAAGTGGCCTGGCCCATTGACACTATAGCTATATACAAAAACCAAATTAAGGGGAGATAACTGTATATACAAAAAACACAGTGAAACTCTCCATTTTTTTCCCCGCATTGTGACAGGGATCCTTAAATAGACATGTACATAAGAAATAGGCAAACATCTCCCAAACGAAATTTCGATAAAAATGAAGTGGACCTGGTGAGTTTGTGTAGAATCTGTGTAGCATTTCGTAAAAGATGCAAAGAATAAGAAATTAATTTGGTGTGATCTTAGCAGCCACCAGTCTTTGTAACGGATATGCGTGTCGTGTGTTTGTGTGACGTCATTCCTACACCTTGTAGTTAATGTACATTCAGCATATTTGCATAGATGTTTGTTTGTATGACAGTGTATATGTTCCAATACAGAAAGTGTTAAGATTAATACGTGTGCGCTTTATATGTATAGGAGCAACAAATGTGAAGCTGTGTCTTATGAATATTGGTTTCTGTCAACCTACCGGGTAACTTCAGATTATCGACGGATTTCAATGAGTTTCCAATGAAAACTTCAGATTAAGGTATAGAAAAACAATTGATTGTTAATTTATCCTATTAAGCAAGCTAAATTAAAAATTATTTCGTTAATTTCAAATAGTTTAAACCGATAAGAAATACACTTGAGAATATATCCACCACACATATGACACTAAATAGAGATATCTCAATCTTCGAACTCTTCGATTCCATAATACATCAACCGAGGTATGTCATAACTTAAAAATTAAAACTTTGACGGGAATTCCCGAATGGTTTCTGACTGACGATTTTCACCTGCCGGAAATGATAACTATAGAAACATGACATTATTCCCGAAAAACAACACTTTTACATTATGTCTTAAAACCAAACAAAAGCTATCCAGAAAGCCAAAAAATAATAATTTTCGCTTTACATATATGATAATTATAATACCGGAAATATAACTGGACATCTCACGAACGTTTTATTTTGAGTTGGTATCCATAGACTATGAATGCAAGCTCAAAGGATTGTGTTACTTATATATCAGCCATTGTATGACATTCCACTATATATACCCTACTACATTCATATGGCATTCATGTAAGCTATGAATGCCAATAATCCGATTGTTTACATCATCATTCATATGTGAATTCCAACTGGACAAAGGTAATTTTAACATGAATTTCCTTTGTCAAGTTCGCATTTATATTGCTTATGAATGCCACCTGAAAGGCTGAAAGCAATCCAATGCTTAAATAAAAAAAAATGAAATATTTCAATCCAAAACAAAATTAAACCTTTAGATCAGATAAATGTATGTATCATGAGCGCTTGTAAATCGAGTATAACCGCCATCTTGGTATTCAACAATACAATTATGATAATGATATGATACTGATGACGTCAACAATGGAACCTCTACAGTTATCGCTAATATAAATGCCATCTAAATGTTGAAGGGTTATCAGATGGCAATACCATTGGGTGATACATACTGGTAAATCAACTTTGATTTTTTTTTTTTTTTTTTTTTAAATAAATAATGTTATAATTGAATTGATTCATAAATATTTCTAATTTATTATGTAATATACATTTTGATCTTTTCTATATTACGTGATTAGGTTATACGTCCATGTACAAAGGTGACTTCGTAGATGTAGATTCATTGCTACACCACACAGTGCAGTAGTTGTGACACAATAACGGGGTGTTGGGGGAATAGAACTGACTGATTATAATGTATAGATGTAACTGTTCTGTTAAGGTTAAACAAGCCCCGTAACGATACAGAGTGGATTTAGTCTAGTCTGAAATACGACAGTGAGGAAAAACGACATTAAGGCTGATGTCTTCATACAAAACTTTACCGACATCATGAAATGTCAATCTCTTTTGAAAGCAAACTGAATTCTACGAACGATTTTTGGTTACGCCTTGCCACAAGCATCTTATTTAATGACAACATGTCCATTGTTTAAAGAATGACGACTGGTACAAGGTCTTTGTTTAATCGAACAACACTTATACATTTGTATATCTATTGAACACCAATAGGTAATAATATCCAATGTTGAAACGACAATTGACCAAGTTACATTGTTTAAATGAACAACACATATCTGTACAGCCAGTACTTTAAAACAAAAACGACAATGTACATTGTTTATATAAACGACAAGGGACATAATCAACGAAAACATATATATATATAGTTAATGTTTAAATGAGTATTAACACATAAAAGTACATTCTAATAAACAGAAGACAACAGAAATCAGTGAACAACATCAGATATATATTCCCGCTTAAAATGCAACTAAAATATATTCTTGAGAACCTTGAATTAAGGTACATCCCTGTCATTAATGATATTATTTTCTCCAAAATTAAAACGGAAATACATATCTGCCTGACAAACGTTACAGTTTTTATGGAAAATGTTTCAATTTATCTTACAAATGATACTTTTTTTCTGACAAAGATGTTAGTTTGACGAAGGTGACAGCTTTCTGACAAAGTTCTAGTATAGAAGATACACATTCTGTCTGACATAATTTACCTAATTAGGTAACAAACATTAGCGGCACGTTTTGGTAGCAGAGTACAGTAGAAATGGCCTGATCCTAAAAATAAAGGGCATGTCTCAGATAAACATGGATAGTGGATTCATCCTGCACAACACATCTACATATATATATATGTATTTATAAACTACAATTTGAATATATTTTGTTGAGAAGACTGAATTGTTTTTCGAAAATTGTTTCCCCCAGATTTGGGACTAGTGGAAACCATGGTTACCACATCAAAAAACACAAAAAGTGCAAAATATCATGATCTTTAACCCAAAATTTGACCACCGCACGTAGCAACATTTTCCTTAAAACCTGTCTGAAATTAAACATCGCCTACTCGGTAACAGAAATACTCACAGTTTAGCATAGGTCATTCTGGTGGATTTTTCACAATATTTACATATGTGCTGAGTACAAAAATAGACTACATGGAAAACCAGCTTTTGTTTTGTAGACACAGATTTGTAAATGCCCAAAAATGAAGTCTAAAACCAAATTCGATTTTTTTTTTAAATTATGAAGCCCACATAGTCCACTTCATCATGTATATGCCAATTTTAGTGCTGATTTTTTAAAAGTTTTTATACATGTAATATTACAGGGGTTATTCATTGCATAAAAATATCACCCATGGCCACCGTACGCTACTGTACACTGCTACCTTTTGTGTGAAATAAATGCTTATAAATGCCTACAAACCTGTATATGTCTAGTCAATGTAGTTTACACCGCTTATATCACAGACAGGTATTGGTCACACACGATTCAAAAAGTGCGGTATATATTTTACACTGCTTATATCACAGACAACTATTGGTCACACACGATTCAAAAAGTACGGTATATATTTTACAGAAAGATCAGATTGATTGTTTGAAGAGTAATAAGTACGATGTCATTAAGTACTTTCTATTATCTATGTGGCAAGCGACCACACCATTCGGATGAAAACCTGAGTAGAACCACGTTTTACCCGCTTCCGACCGGGACCACTTTAGCAGTGACCAGTTGATAACCGATAAGACTACATTTCCCTGATGAAGTGGAGACACCTCTGGGTAAGTTGATGATGACCACGTATCGACAGACTCTTGTTCCAGACAGAAAGCATTAACCCTCGGGCTAACATTCCCCGGTCTCAATCAAGTAGAGGTGATACTTTCTATTAAGATGGTGTGACAATTGCAGACCTTCACGGCGGTATTGATTTGTTGATGATACAGAACGCTTTAATCCAGCCCATCATATATAATATTAATAATTTTATAATCAGACACAATATGCGCATGCTTAGACATCCAATTTAATTTAACTTGGTAATATATTAAATCATTCATCCATAAGTATGTAAGGCAAATAAAACCCTATTTGATCATGACTCTATTCGGAATCCCTATAAGCTTGTCTTCTTTCTGGATTGCAAGACCGAGGCCCGTATTCATGAAACCCTTTTCATGCTCAAGCATGTACCCAAAACCAACCTTCTTTTGTCTCACTTAAATCATGTCAAACAATCAAAAACAGTACATTTTGTTCAAACCATTGACAACGTTTTGTTAATAATTAATAACCGGAACAAGAAACTAGACTCGAGCACAAAACCCATGCTTGAGCATGTTAACGGTTACATGAATACGGACACAGGTCTCAACGAACCGCTGTTTCTGTAAAGTGGTTTTGAAACAATGGTAATTGGCACGAGTTATTAACTCATGCACCTGTTGTCTACATCATCACAAAAATAAATCAACAAATAAATCATACAAAACTAAAACGTAAACGGTTGATTCGTTTCCTGTAAGTTTGTCAAGTGTATTTTAAGATTATTTAAAGGTGTAGGTAAGGTGTGCTCTTCTATTTTAAATTATAAGTTAATATTCCTGTAATTATCTAAAATATTGGATAAGATTCTTATGTAACACAACAAATATTTCATGTAACGATGCAAAGTACTCGTATTTGGCCATACAGTAGCTGATGCCGTATCATTGATTTGCACTTTTCACAGTTGTGCAGTACGATAGTCTCAACTTGATCGTTCCACGAGTGTTTTTTTCCATGCACGTTTCCGTTGTCCCCTTTTAACGACATAACTTAGCGTACCGACCACGATATACTTAGCGTACTGACCACGATATACTTAGCGTACTGACCACGATATACGAATCAGTTGTCAAATGATGAAATCATGTCTGCATTCTTCACTTCGAATAAAACTGTAGTAAGGTCGTGTTGTCGTACACAAATGAGATTCATCTTGGACTGTCTCCACTTCTGCATTTGAGCGATCTTAATCCAATATAACGTCGCCGCTCATATATCATAATCGTTGCATTAGCTACTTTCTAAATATTTTCACGCGTTACGTAAAGAGTGCATTGGTATAGCATAGCTGTACTCAGATATGATTTGTGCAGTATTCTAAATTACGGACATCAGTCGACTGACTTTTTCTGCCAAACAATCGCAAAAGGCATTTGTTTCTAAAAAGTGTCTCATCTTAAACATGTTCTAAAACCTATACAATACGCAGTCTGAACAATGTGTCATCAGTGGAAACATACCTTCATTTACAAGGTAGAAGTACTGGGCAGGCTGCGTTTCCACCGTCATCTTTGCGTACTTCAGGAGTAAGCTTTAACATTTCGTCTAATTCTTCATTCCGTTCGTTTTCTTCTTATTCCAAAGGCTGCTCCTGACAAAAGTCTGAGATGAACAAGCGAGGTCAATAGCAGACTCCAGAAAGAGTGCTCGTTTCGTCAAAATTCTAAGATCTCGCTCCTCTCTTGAGGTATTCCGATACTCCAGAACATTATGTTCTCCATTCAG